GTAGTAGTAGTAGTAGTAGCGTAGCAGTAGTAGTAGTAGTAGTAGTAGTAGTAGTAGCAGTAGCAGTAGCAGTAGCAGTAGTAGTAGTAGTAGTAGTAGTAGTAGTAGTAGATAGTCGAAGAAGAAGTAGAAGTAGAAGTGAAACTAGAAGTAGAAGTAGAAGTAGAAGTAGTAGAAGTAGTAGAAGTAGTAGTAGTCGTAGTAGTAGTAGTAGTAGTAGTAGTAGTAGCCGCAGTAGCAGTAGCAGTAGCAGTAGTAATTAAAAATGTTGTAACAGTAGTCGTCGTAGTAGTAGTAGCAAGCAGCAGTAGTAGCAGTGGCAGTAGCAGAGGCAGTAGCAGTAGCAGTAGCAGTGGCACAAGTAGTGGCAGTGGTAGCAGTAGCAGGAGCAGCCAGTACTACTACCACGACCACTACCGCCGCCACTGCCACTACCAGTACACGCCAAACACTACCACTAGCACGGTCACTACATACTACACACGACACTGTGCTAACCGAGACACTGAAGGGAAGCCTTGGAGCATGTCCGGCACGTTCATGCCATCTGCTTGCTCCATTGGGGGCAACCTGGCATCTTTAGCATGCCAACCCTGTGCTCTCGCAGCCGGTCAATTCAAAACGCTGGCTAAGCGACAGCATGAACAACCCGTGACAGAATGACGTTCATAAGAACATCTGCAATCGGAACAATAGGCTTGCAGCCGTAAACAATTCTATCGGCGAGGATGGGGTTGGAACGAGCACAAGCCAGTGGAGCCCTGGAGGCACGAAGCCCAAGTTCGCATTCACTGGGAAGAAGCTGCGGAGAAAGTGCTCGGACTTGATGGCAGCATTCAGCGGCTTCCCCTGGCAAGGAGTGGGCGGAGCGAATGGCGACACAAGTGATGAACACTGAGGCGCCGACCTTGAAGGACTGCGAACGAAGCCAGAGAACGACGTCTTGCGCACCATCGTCTACGTTGAATTTCACAAACCAGGTGTTGTTCACCTGCCAACAGCGATCTAACTCGTGACAGGACCTAATTCCAACAACACATGTCGCTGGCCTCGGGCTTGACACTAACAACGTTTTCGGCATACGGCCCGGATGCCAGAAGCTGCATGATCTCTTCCTCCAAACGATGCCACGGACAGAAGGAACACCGGCTGTTCGGACGTCAGCACGACTCGTGTCACGACGGTGCAGGTCCTCTGTTGTCCCCTCTGGCAGATCACGGAGGATGACAACATTTCGCTTGGACTTGAGCACAGGCCGCACCTTAGTCAATCAAACTCCAACTTCCTTCCGCCCCAGCAACACAACATCAATGGCAAATCCACTGACTGCTCTGTGGTGGCTGGCCATGGTTCTCTGGTCGTCCACACCCAGGCGCTTGGACTTTGCAGCTGCAGCTGCCACCTTTACAGCTCTGCGGCTTAAGATTTGGCATTTAGCGAAATCCATCCAGCCTGGTCATGAGTCGCACCAAGAGCTTGTAAACGATGGTGCACAAGCAACACGGCGATGGGGATGTACCTCCAGGAACAAAGCCTTCACATTTATGTCCGAGTTGCTGAGCTTCTGTTCCCAACGTGCGAAGCCCAGCGCACATCTGTGGGTTCATCTTGCTTGCCAAGAACTGGTCTCGGACCAGATTTTTCTTGGACAGGATGGACTCCAGGGCATCCTGCGAAGAGATCCAGAGGGAGGAGCGTCAGCAGCAAAGCTACAAATATAATAGTGAAAGGTGAGGGAACCGTTTGCATGTGCTCCCCCAGTGTTTCCAAAAGCGATCATGACCAACACCTTCTGAGCATTTCTGAGCTGTTGACTGCGAACCCTGAATAGCTCGGCAACTAGACTACCAAAACCCTCCAAGATCTGGAACGCTTTGTCCTGCACCTGATCGTCCGGGGATTTGCTGGCGCTTTTCTGCGATGGCTCGGCACCGAGCCCTGGTGTGTCAGCTTCCATTTCCTGGGTGACAGAGACTTTACACCGAGTGTCGACGTGCAGCAACGAGGCGGAGCAGGAGTCTGAGGTGGTGCTGAGGGGGTCAACACGGGCGTGCAAACACATTTGAGGCTCAGAGTCTCAGGCGCTGGCGGGAATCGTTAACACGTCTTATGTGACGTGCACCATAATTTTGCAAACATTACCCACACATGAGCCACTGCAAACGAAGCGGATATCAACAAAGCTTATGCGATCCGTGTTATTGGAACCTCGGGCCCAGGTAACACGAGCACACTGCAGACCCACGGTGCACAGCTGTGCATCCGGGGTTTGTGGCATTTGGACCATGGACAACGTCTCAACAATGCTTTCCCACATGGGGAGCGGTTGTACTCACGTCGTCTACCGCAGCACTTGTTGGACGTGCTGATATCACGTCGAACATCAACATCACCATGAACGAGACGCACGGATGGCCGCTGTTTTCACGAACAGCTCCACTGACTGCACCTCACCAGTGCACAAACCGGAAACGTATGTGCTGTCTCTTAATATTGGTGCTCGTATACACACACACACACACAAACCAGCCGTCCGCTGGCGTGCCCCGCAATGTCGTGGAATTACCGCTGAAACTTGCTTCTGAAAGGATTTAACTGCTGCCACTGAGGTTTGATTTAATCCAGAATCGCCGAGGTAGTATGCATGCAAGAACTCACAAACCAGAGCTACTCGCCTTGGGTTTCGGGCATACTCAGCTTAATGCACGGAAACGGCAGTCATAGACAAGGCAGGTAAGGTCACACAGCCTAAACGAGCGGCGCTCAGAGCTATTTTGGTCGTGCTGCTTGGCTCGGAAAAAGTCGCAGCTGAAGCCAGCGAGCGCTGCAGCCAGTCCTGCTCATGTTTGCCCCACGCGACGGCCTCTCCGCGACCCAGCTTTGTAGCACCCGCCCAGAAATTCAGGAAGTTCCTGCCCCACGGCACACTCTTCAGGGTCGAAGTGAAATGCACACCCCAAGCCTTCTCATTGCAACGGACGTAGCTGAGATGTCCGCTGTGCAAGCCTGATTCCTCCAAGGTCGAGTTGCTGAGGCTTCCCCGATGATAGACGCGCACCGCCCATCCAAGAAATTTGTATTGTGAGCGACTTGGCGGCAGTTTCCCTTCTAAGGTCGTTGCAAAAAAGCTTTCCAAAAACAGCGGGCAATGAATTCTCAAGACTGTCCAATCGAAGAGCCCTGGATAGACCCTATCCCTCCAAATGGCATCATCAAGTTCTTTATTCCACAAGTTGTTGACGCCCCCACCTCGAGTTTGTATACCGCCGTGCTCCCGCGGTTCGACAACCCAGGGTTCCTCGAAGACATGCCACAGTGTTTCGTTTGAAGCAAGTTTTTTGGTGGTGACGCCCTCCCCAAGGCTGCAAAAGTAGGAAGGAGCCGATTCGAAGCCCTGTCGAACCGTCTCCGATAGGATCTTGGTGAAGCCATTTTGCCTCATGCGGGGCAAATCCAGGAGCTGAAAAGGCATGTCTCCGTTTCGTGGGGAGGCGGCAAGCTGGGATGCTCGGAAATTTCGTCTTTGCACCAAGATACGCGACACATCCTCGAGAAATACGTAATCTCCAGCGTCTACAAATATCAGCAAGTCCACCTCGGGACGACTTGTGAATAGCTCATGAACGAAAAGCCGAATCCAGCCGGCATCACCAAAGAGCTTTGTTTGCCCCAGGCATCCCGGTACAATGCTTGCTTGTAGGAGTTTGAAGAAATGGCGCAGCACATCTTCTCCGTGCAGCTCAAACGCCGCAGCGCGAGCTGCCAAGATTGGTTCCCGCTGCTGCAGCTGGTCAAGACAGTAGCGCATGGCACGCTCACCAGCAGCATCTACAAAGAGGTGGAAGTGCAACCTCTTGCGCCGAGCGAAAAACAAGGCTGACCGGATTGTGGCCATGGCCTTGAAAGCGAACACCGGCTCGCCGACCGATGCAACAAGACCAACATGAACAACATCCAGGGACCGTGGAGCACTCCTGAGCAGGGCCAACTGCCTGGCCCAACTCCTACCTGTGGCTTGCAATGATAATCGATGCAGCTCGTCAGCTCCTGCCGCATGAGAGACTCGAAGCGGAGTCAAAAAATCACCTTCAAGGGCTTCTCTCACGACTGCTGCAGTTCGCCAATGTAGGAATGTTTGGCATAGGAGCATGGCAAAGTGAAGCCTTTCGACAGAAGTTCTGCCGGTCCTACGATGCATGGAGGGAAGCCACTCATGGGCGACCCACTTAGCGTCAACAATGTCCAGCTGCACCAGCCTGGCCAGCAAAGCCTTTTCACAGTTGTAAGACATTCCATCCTGCCACGTTGCCAACTCACAATCCACAGCAGACTGAACTTCCAGAATGATATGGCCAACAAGATTCCACAGCTCGGCTGCGAAGAGTGAGCGGGTCCCTGGACGGACATCACGCCCACAGCAATACTCGCCAACACCTTCTGCATCGACACCCCAGCAAAGTTCCTCTTGCGACTTTTCTTGGCAGCATGTCTCATAGCTGAGCCAAGGTTGCCCACGAAAGCAATCTTCGTCACCCGTGCCCAAGCTGACCCAAGGGCAAAGGTTCGCAAGTAATATGAAGTGCACAGGTGTTGATGCAGCCGCCGAAAGCAGCACTGGACCTTGCAGGAACAGTTGCCGCCTGGTTGTTGCGTGCATTTTTGTTCAGCGATGCTTTGTGAATAGATGCAGAACCAACCCATGCGCGAATCGTAACTGCTAAAGTCCAGACAATTTCTGCTTGTGACGTCGCAGCATGGAACCCAATCAATCATATGAACTCAAATCCTTGAGCCACACGACTTCGAATCAAGACGAATCTGCGGCAAGCAAGCACGACGACAAAGCATCGCAGTACATATGTTGCCGTTACCGCATCTACACAACCTTGAAAACCATGCGCTCTGCACGTGGTACTTACTCGTGTCGGTGACACTGTGTCCCACGTCATGCACATCAGCCCTCATGTCTGTGCACACTCTTGCTACTGCTACTGCTACTGCTGTTGCAACATTGTTGCTACTACTACTACTACTACTGCTACTGCTACTACTACTACTACTACTACTACTGCTACTACTACTACTACTACTACTACTATTACTGCTACTACTACTACTCCTACTACAACTACTACTACTACAACTACTACTACTACCACTACTACTACTACCACTACTACAACTACTACGACTACTACTACTGATCACTACTACTACTATGACTACTCCTGCCACTTCTTTTGTTTGCTGCTACTGCTAGTGCTCCAGCTCCTGTTTCTGCTCCTACTACTGCTCCGGCTCCCACTCCTCCTTCCCAGTTTCGGGGGGTAAGCTGCGCGGAGCTGTTCAACCCAAACGTGAACCTCAGGTGAAGTTGGGTTGCCAAACTCTGACAGGCCCGTTAGAGGAAATCGAAACGGAAAATCTCTAGAGTTACTCTTGTGACCTGAGAGCAAACGATCACGAAAAAAAGTTCTAATTTTCCAGACACAGCCTGGCGACTGTGTGTGGTTTCACAAAAGAGTTGATGTTGAGTGCAATGCTGGCACATGGCCGTGGAAAAAAGTAACATCAAGCCGGAAAAGCGAAGCAAGCTTGTTTCCATGTACAGAGAAGCAGTGCAAGGCGACGTCTGTTATCTTTGCGCACCAAACTGCTAATGTTCCACAGTGGAAGCAGAGCTGGACACTGCATTGATCTTCTTTTTATGTCTTTTTCACCGACATTTTTAGGCACTTGCAAGTACTGCGTTTACTGTTGCAATCCAAGAAACTGCGTTTGAGCGTGGCAATGCAACACTTTGTTATGCTCTAAATCAAGAAACTACCAAATGTTCTAACGCACACACTTCTGGTTTTTGCTTTGCCGTCCAATTGCACCTAAAGACAACTGGATCACGCTTACCACGTTGTATCGACCCCCCCAAAAAATTTTAAATTGAGGTCGAACTGAGATTCTCCCAAAATACTTGAGGAAAGCCCACAGAAGAAACGCAACGAAGCCTCTGTGGAACTTAATGTGCAAGACATCCGCCTTACTCTTGCAACCTGAGAATCATGAAAAAACAAGTTCAAGAAGGAAGTGCAAGTTTCCAGCAATCTTCCCCCCCAAACGAAAAAACTGAGCGGCCTTGTGAAGACCAGACAAGTTTGGCCCAGAAATTCAAACAAAGCTAAGGTCGTAACCACGCTTGGCAGGCCCATTAGAGTGCCAAAGAAACGCGCGTCTTCCTCTGGGGCCATAATAGTTCTTGCAAAGCGGTGCCATTGCTACAAGCGTGGTCGCCAGTTTAAGCGCGGACTTCACTTTGAGATGGCAAGCTTGATATAGGCACCAAGGCGGCATGTTGGACGCGTCTGGATCGTCTGGATACATTGGTTTGTTTCTAAATCAAGCCATTGTTTTCAGCGCACTGTGTTTCGTCAGCAGAGCTTACACACTGCTTTTTGGTTGTTTGGTGGAAATGTTTTTGCTTTGCAGTCCATGCATCTAAAATATCAACCGAATTACGCTTGCCAGCCACCAGGTTCTTTTCATAAAAAGTAGCAATTGGAGCACTTAATGTTTGTCAAAGCTTGATCAAAAGCTGGATTTCAAAATTCAATTTTTCAAACTCAATTTTTGGAATCAAAATGTCAATCCTCATCGCAACCCAGTGCATGCCAAACTGGAGGAACTCGGTGGATTGGAACAGTAGCGGATGTCTTGCACAATGGATTTGGTTTCATTTTTCTTTCAAATGTTTTTCTTCGTTTTTGATCTTAAAGCGTTCTCGTGTGGCTTTCTTCTTTTGATGTTGAAAGAACTTCAAGTTAACTGTGAATGGAAACGGGAGACAACCTGGGTGATGCCCAAAGCAACGAGGTCTTGTTATGTAAGACAGCCAGCGAAACAGACAGTCCAGTCCAAGCCAAGCTCCCTATCCACATTCCTACAGAGCTTCAATCAAGTGCTTCGTGCTCCTTGTAGCAGCATGCAAGATACAACTTACACTTGATCTCCTCTTCCACCTTAATGCCTCTCGCCGCCTTCCCTGCCAAGTGGCACACAGTGCAACCGTGGCAAGATCTTCAGTGGTTACAGCAGGCTGGATGTCCGTGTAGGCAAGCTTCGAGAGGACTCCCGAACTCCAAAGAGGGTGAAGACTGTCTTGTTCAGGAAAGTTCCTCTAGAGTAAAGCAGGCAATAAGCTTTGAGAGGGCTATGGACTTTGCTCGTTTGATAGAAGTCTCGCGGTACGAGCTGGGTCCTCAACCCTGCACCGTGGGGGCGAAAAGCTAAGCAGAGGTGCAAGAACTGCGACCTAAAGAGGGAGAAGACTTTCCGGCATCGCTTTAACAAAGTTTCTGCATCAAGACGCAACGCATTCCTTTGCACCCTCTGCGGCAAAAAAAGTGCTTTTGCATTACGTAGAGAACGCATGCTGTGTGTTTTTCTTTTGTATCAGCTGTGTTTTCTAGGTAGTGTCAGTGTCACATACTCCGCAATATGTTGGCTCTTACCTAGAAACACACAGCAACATGCTTGGCAAAGCATTGCTTTCTTTGTTTTCACCCACCCTCCACACCCTGGGAGAAGGCTTTCCGGCATCGCTTTGCCCAGACAAAGTTTCTGCTTCAAGACGCAACGCATTTCTTTGCACCCTCTGCGGTAAAAAGAGTGCTTCTGCATTATGTAAAGAGATGATTTTGTGAGCTCGTTCTCACTTGTCCCAAGTCTCGCGAATTTCAAGACATGTCACTGGAAAATCAAGCAAGCTGTCAACATTTTTAAGTTCGAAAGTTGTGGAATACCCATCTTTTTTGGAGGGGAGCGTCAACGAGATTGCAATTTACCCGGAAATATCAGCATCAAAAAACGCAACCCAACCTTTGCTTCACCACTTGCTTGTGCCATGCAAGCTTACGCACAGACCGAGAACAGTTTTTGCGGAGTTCCAGGGGAGGCTGAGCGTGTGGCAGGGGAGAGTGAACCCAGGAGCCAAAAGTTTCATGCTTTCAAGCATGTTGCCGACAAAAATCCCTCCGGCCAAGACGCATGGCATTGGGTATGTTAGGTTTCTTTTGGGAAGCCGTTGCCTGGACCACTGTGGTTGAGCATGGGGACAGACGTTGACTGACAGTACATCTTGAACCCAAACCGAAAGTCACACACCGCTATATCCGGGTTGCAGCGGCCTCTCTAGGTTTGCGTATGTGGCCAGCCAGAGCCAATCCCGAGGATTTTCCGACAGCTTGAATTGGAGCCACCATGAAGCGGCAGCTGCGAGGATTGGCAAGCGGTGAGTTCGAGCCCCATTGTGCAAACATTCTAAGCTGCGAGCCTGACTGCCGTGTTATGCCAAAAGCAGAAAAGGTAGAATCGGCCTAGAAGAACAAAGTTCTGTGAGCGACCAGCTCGGGAGCCCTAAATGAGGAGAACTATCGGGACGGGCCCAGTCTCCAAAACGAACATGTCTAGCAAGACGATATCAGGATGTTTCACATGAGCCAAGCATGCCGCGTGTTGGTAAACGAGTGTTTTGAACCCGCCTGCATGGACCGCATGTCGAAATGTGTTCGACTAATTCATTCGGGTTGCATACTTGCAAAAGTTATCCGCTGCTTTTGATCTCGAGCTTTTCAGCGAGTCACCTTCGTCGAAGTTCAGAGATGTTCGTGACAGTATGGGCGGCAGCGGCCATAGGGATGGCAAGCAGCGCGTTTGGCGAGATACACTACCCGCGCTATGGCTGCGGCAAGGGCTTTGAAGATCTCCCGTTTTGCAATAGCAGGTTGCCCATCGCGGATCGTGTCGACGACTTAGTACAGCGGTTACGGTTGGAGGAGAAGCCCCTCCTGATGGTTGCCCGGCTGGCACCGCTTGGCAACATCTCACGGCTTGGCATTCCACAATATGACTGGGGAGCCAATTGCATCCATGGTGTTCAATCTCGCTGCGGTAGAGGCTCAGATGGCAAGGTTCGATGCCCCACCTCTTTTGCAGCTCCGAACCTCTTAGGTGCCACTTTCAATGAGTCGGCATGGTGGACAATGGGTCACATCATTGGCGTGGAGCTGCGCAGCCTTTGGAAGCAAGGCAAAGGAGAGAACCATCCACCCACGCAGCTTCCACCTTTAGGCCTGGACTGCTGGAGCCCAAACATCAACATAGTCCGTGATCCACGTTGGGGGCGGAACATGGAGACCACGTCCGAGGATCCTTTCATCCTGAGCCGCTTCGGGGTACAGGTGACGAAGGGATTGCAGGAAGGCAAGGAGGACAAAGGGCGGCTACAAGCCATTGTCACACTCAAGCACTTTGCAGCGAATGAGCTTGAAGGCACATGGAAGGGACCGGGCGGTCCTGCTGAGTACCCTGGCACCGGGATGTGCCCTGGACGGAAGTGTACAAGACACACAATCAATGTAAATATCTCTTCGTATGATCTGGCCTCATCCTACCTGGCATCTTTCCGCAGCACCGTAGTAGAAGGAGGTGCACTTGGGGTAATGTGTTCTTACAATTCAATCAATGGCTATCCGAGTTGTGCCAACAAGTGGCTTCTGAATGAGAAGCTGCGAAAAGACTGGGGCTTCAAAGGCTATGTAACGGGAGACTCTGGAGCTGTCGCCGACATTTACCATCAACATTGGTTCGCTCCGTCAATGGAGGATGCAGTTGCCAAGGCTGTGGAGGCCGGCACAGATGTCCAATCCTCTGGGTGGCCCTCGGGACATGCATGGTCGACGACGAACGCTGAGTACCTGAAGTACATCCCAGACTTGGTCCGACAGGGAAAGCTGTCTGAAGAGGCCTGAGCTCGATCTTTGGATAGCAGGGTGTGACTCATAGTCCGTATAGTCCACAGAGTTTTGGTGTGAGCTTTCTCTCCGATCTCAGGCGCTGGACGAAGCTCTGAGGCACACTTTGACCCTCAGATTCCGCCTCGGCCTCTTCGATGATCCTGCTAGCCAACCATATGAGCACCTCTCTCCCGACATTGTGCGCCGTAGCGAGCATCTGGCTGCCGCTCTTGACTCGACGGAGCAGGGTCTGGTACTTCTCAAGAACGAGAAGGGCACTTTGCCAATCCCTGAGGGTCGAAAGATTGCCGTCATCGGTCCCCACGCCGCTTCCCGAGGAGAGCTCCTCGGAAACTACTTGGGTCAGATTTGCCCAGGTGAGAGGCAGAGCTTCGCTTGTGTGGAGACCATCTTCGAAGCCCTCTCCAACTTGACGCAGCAAGTGACCACAGCCCCAGGATTGCCCGGCATCAGCAGCGAAGTTGACCCGAAGATCCTTGCAGAAGCGGTAGCCACGGCGAAGGCTGCCGAGTACATCATACTGGCTTTAGGCCGGGACCCAGCTGCTTCAGCATCAGTTAGGATCGTCCAGCTTCCTGAAAATCTTTTCACTCCCCCCATTCCAACTCCATCTGCACAGGCCTGGACACTGCCCGAATCGAGAAAGAGGGGCAGGATCGCCACACGGTGATACTGCCGCCTGGGCAGCTGGCTCTGCTCGATGCTATGATCGCCCTTAAGAGGCCTACGTGTGTCGCACCCAGTTTCTCTCTGGTTTAGTTAGTTTTATACACGGTATACCCGCCACCGCCAAAAAGTACTTACGGAAGGCCGTTGACTGTTGTGCTGGTGAATGGCGGCATGGTGGCGATGACACCCGTCAAGGAGAAGGCCGACGCGATCGTGGAAGCCTGGTACCCCGGATTTTTTGGCGCCAGAGCCATCGCCCGTGCAGTGTTGGGACACAGCAACCGCTGGGGCAAGCTGCCTGTGACTATATATGATGAACACTTTACAGAGCAATTCGACATGCTCAGCTTTGACATGACTAAATCTCCTGGGCGGACGTACCGCTACTTTACAGGACAACCGCTTTGGCCATTTGGATATGGCCTGTCCTACACCACCTTTTCTTTGCAGATCCTCGGTTCAAGTTCGATCAAGGTCTCGCAGGCAGGAGGTTCCGCAAAGGTCGATGTGCGCCTCCTGAACACTGGGGAGAGAGCCGGCGACGAAGTGGTAATGGCTTATTTCTCGCCAAAGGAAGGGACTCTTCCTGCAGGATGCGCTGCCACACTTCTGCGCAAAGAGCTTTTTGCTTTCCAGCGGGTTGCCCTCCAGCCTCAGATAAGTGCGACCTTGGGCTTCACGCTCACAGCCGCGAGTTTCCAGGTCTTTACAGACGCCGGTGATGGTGTCAGCTATGCTGGCAAGTACACTGTATTGCTCAGCACAGGTAGTGTGGACGTGACCATGGACGTCGAAGTGGAGGGAAGTCCGCAGCAGCCATTGGTTTTACAGCCTTGGCAAGCGCCTGCCAAGACAACTAGCGTCGTTGTCTGAGATGTGGTTATCTGTTCCAAGTCTATCAGGAGCACTTGCGGTCGCGATTGGCGATGCTGGTGGCTGACTAGAGGCTGTTAGTATGCAACTTGGTAGCTGCGCTATTTGATAACACGCATAGCCTGTTTCAATCTGTGGATGATAAAAGCGCTCTCTGACAGTTCGCAGAACAAAGGATTCTCTCTTACTTTTCATGCGCGTTCCGCTGGCAGGTGTCAAATGCACTCAGCATCACTGGATCTGACCCAGTAGCACTAAGCTCGGATTCCGACAGCATCTGCTGTCAAGACAGTCCCGACGATCCGTGAACTTGAAGATGTTCCTTCTCTGCATGTTCTGCATGTACGGCATGTGCAGGGAACGGCTTGTCAATTGATGTCAAAACAGTCGCGTCTGAAATCGTTGTGGCGGCACCCGTTGTCGGCTCGAACGTGCAGGCTGTTCTGTAGATAGGATTAGGCGTCGTGCTGCCTGTTTACACAGGCCTGTGGGATGGTTCCTGTTGCCCACCCGGAGTCTTTGCTTGTGCAACAATGAGCACGCAGGTGCGATGAGGCTGAAGTTAACACACGAGGCCAGTGCCACTGAAACAAGCAAATTGCCAGTGTTGCTTCAGAGATTTCTCTGCCGAATTGGTCATTGAGACGCCCGCAAAGGCCACACAGCAAGCAAACCAGCAGGAACAAGCATTCCCAGCGAAGGCATTGTGAATTGTTGCACTCGAGCAGTTGAATAGCCTACCTCGAGATTTCAAAGGCTTGACTGACGTGCTCGGGTCGATTTGCTTCACTCCAGGAAGTGCCGAAGCACAAATCGCTAGTGACTGCAGTCGGATGGTGCTGAGCTGAGATATATGACACATACACTTTCTTTCGATAAGGGTCAAAAAGATGCAGCACGCTACAAGACATCACCCTCTAACATGCTGAGGTACAAGACCGGCAAGCAATACGAGTTGTTGTCAGCCGGCGATGACCAGGCTGTGCCGGAGAGGTAGAGTGTATGTCTGCGATTGTCTCAAGACAGCTCAAGGCCTTCCATGTACGGTGCAATGGGTACATGCGAGTTCGTGTGGATCGAAGGGCCAGACCTTGGATCATCAAAGCCATGATGACTGTTTTGGTCGTGTGCACATCGGCACATCATGTCGTCTCCACCCTTCTTGTGCCTTGAGCTTTCACTTGTTTCATATCAAGCCGAAACCGAAGGACGCAACTTTCGGAGCAGCCAGCACCTAGTAGACCGAGCTGTGAAGCTAGCTTTCCTGTATGTCACAGACACGTGACACGTCAAGGCGACAAGCATGGCCCGCGTCAGAAAAGTCACATATTGCCAGCGAACCGTTCTTCAGTGCTTCCTAGCAGGAAATCTGGAAATGGCATGTCGAGGGCTCCCCGATCGCCAACCCCTTGGAAGCGATATGGACTGCGCCGATTGCACATTGTGGCACCGCTCGTGTGTGTCATGAGACCTGGGGAAGTGAATGTCTAAGTTTAGAACACTGTTCCATCTGCAGCGCTCCGTAGACTTCGGCAATGAGTCAGATGTCCCGAGGTGAAGCTGGGAAGCTGCGAGTCCTTCTGCACGGTGCCCCCGCCGGGAATTTGTTGAAAGAGAGATCGGTTTGGCTCCTGATGTTCCCCAAGTGGTTCAGCATGGGCAGCTCGCAGGCAGCTGCAAAACCGTGGCATCTGCATGAGTATGTCAGGCCATGGCATGGATGCCCAGTGGCAAAGGCACACCTCGGAGGGTGTGCAAAATCGATGCAGTGGATGTTCTGCCGCAAGATGTCAGCCGTACCTGGTCAGGTTCAGAGAACACCTTTGCACTGGGATGTGCCGATGGGACCTTCAGATTGGTCAGTGAGACTGGCCGAGAAGAGAAGAAGGCTCGCAGCTGCCCTCTCCCTTATCCAGTAGCGGTACCCTCCCATAGTGCCTGCTTGTCGTGCAGCCGTTCTTGGAGCTAGGCTTGCTGAGGCTTCGAGATCCAAGGGCAAGGGTTAATGATGCTCGCTTTGGATTCTGGGTGCAGTGGTGCTGAGTCCAGCTTTAATCGCACAATGTCGCACATGCCCCTGCATTCAGCTGTTTTCTGTAGGCTCAACATGCTCGCTTCAAGCGTCTCACTCCCTCCACTCCACTCCACTCCACTCCACTCCACTCCACTCCACTCCACTCCACTCCACTCCACTCCGCTCCACACGTGCACTCCACTCACTCTGGGGAGCCTGTCAGGTTGATGCTCACCGAGGCGCAGTCATTTCCCTGCGGTGGAGCTTCGACGGCTGGGTTCTCTGGTTCCTTTGCAAACTCGAGTATATAATATAGTGTAGGCAACAGCAACTGATACTTAGACTGCAAGGATCTGCCATCGCAACAGCTGGTGAAGACGGCATTGTCAAGGCAAAGGGGGCCTTGGGATCGAGGGATAGGTGGCTCTGCAGGCCAACGCAACCTGCAAAGGTTTGGTCCAGGAGTGGCATGCTGCGGTCAGCCCTGGCGCAACAGTCTTTGGCCGAGACGGATGATGTCAAAACACTGGTGGGAGCCCTTCACTTGCTTGAGGTCGCATGCCATCTACTCGGTGGTCTGGTCTCCGGATTGCGGGGAGCCGAGAGGTAGCGTATGGTGGATTGCGCAAGTCTGGAAAAACCCATGTGCATCAACAGTTTTACGACGGCCGTCGAGGCGAGCATATTCTCTTCGCGTGCAGTGCAAAGATCCACCTCAAATCCATTCAGGATGGTTACTTTCTTGGATAGTCCTTGTTTTGGTCAGCTTGCTCTCCACTGCACCCTGGAGAGGCTGGCCAGAAACAGGTCGAGTGGAAGGCACTTTTTCGGCTTTCATCGGGCATTCTCTTGCGGTATGCCCACCGGCAAGCAACATCGCCGATGCTTGACGTGACTCTGCGCATGTTCAGGCCCACGATGGTGTCGTCATGATGCTGGACTGGTCCGCTCCTAGAGGGACGACATCCTCTACGAATCACGGGGCATCGCCCAGTTGTAGGTGGAGCAGCATGACCTCTCCCCACTTGATCAAGGGGAGCTAGGATGCGAGCGTCCCAGGTCTTTTGTCAACAATACCATCCTTTCTGCCGGCGAAGACTGCCGGTTGCATGCTGAGACTTTTCGGCAGGTGAGGAACACATCGTGGTACAAAGACTCAGAGGTACAAGATTTGGGACTGCTATGGTCGGCTTCTCTTCAACTCCGCTCCTCTCGACCACGTGGTCACTGCCATTGCCGAGAGCACAGCTTGCAGCCTCTAGCGAGTGCAGTAACGACAAGCTTGCTGCCTCGAATTGCCAGACACTTGCTCTGTCGCTTTGTTCTAAATTTCCGAAAGGAAGCAGGGCAGAGTTGTCCTGCACTGTCCAAGGCGTGGTCCCCTACAGGCGGCGGCAACGATGCATGAGCTGGTCCATGTGTCTGTCTCGTAGAAGCGGAACCTGCTCCGAAGTTTTGACAAGGAATGATTCCAAAGTGCCGTGCTTGGCATGGCCTGCCAGGCAAGCATTTTGCCGTCGGGAGCTTCAACGTTGTGGTCCAAGCTGCGTATGTGACGCCAGGTTGCTCTTCGGTTCTAGTGCATGTGTGGTGAGACTCTGTGCTGAAGACCTGAACAGCTTTGGCCGGCACATGGAGGTGGGCTAGTGTGCTATTCTGAGCTCTCTCTGAGACCTTGAAGCTTTGCGACCGTACTGGATGGTCCTACTGTGCAAATCTCGGGCCTCAGTGTGAGCTGCAGTACCTGTAGCATCCTGTAGCAAGGTCGTGAGACGCCAGATGTGGGCTCCATTTTCTCCATTTCCTGGTGCAATGTGCGACACTCAAAACGGTGTGAAAACAGTTCTCTTTGCCATGTCTGGAGTCCACCGGCAAGGACGGAACGCAACTTGCATGCGGCACCGGGAGTGGGCATGTAGTCTTCGGAAGCCTCGTCGCACGGGCCCTGGCAAGAGACTGGCTGTTGAGTATTGGAAAGCCATTGAAGCCAATTGAAGCACAGCTTATGCAGCCAAGGAAAGAAGCTGCACATGGCAGAATATGGACGTAAGCTTGGATGAAAACAACATGATTACGGTTACTTGGCGGCATGTCTCACCATGCTGTGACATGAGCATTTGGAAACCATTGTGTGTTGTCTCTTCGGAAGCACTGGCTTGGGGTCAATGTTAAATGGTTGCCTGCTGTTGTCGTGTGTGTGGTGCTGTAGTTGTCGCCCATACAAGCGATGTGTGGGAACTGCAGCAAGGTGGTGGACATTCTCAATGAGACAAAGGAGGTATGTTGTAGAGTATTGCATGCATCCTAGAGAGCATGTGTGTGCAGAGCACTCGTGCAGCACGAGCTTCTCGACAGGAATTGGACTTCCGTGATCGCGTGACCGACATGCTGTCGCCTAAGAGCTAGTTTCCACATTGCAGCTGCTGAAGACGCAGAAGGAATTGTGACAGGTCGTTGGCTTATGGGGCTTTGGTTGTGAATACCAACAGCCAATGCTTCATATACCAGTCGACAAACTGGAACACGCGTGGGTCTTACTCGTAGAGTCATGGAAGTTGCAGTCTCGCGCCCAGCTCCTGCTGCTGCTGCTGCTGCTGCTGCTGCTTCTGCCAATCGAGGCCTCACGTGGAGGACTTGAAAGAGCCACCAACGCTCATTGTCCAGTGCATGTCCAAGGATCAGGGCAAGTCGAATCCGTGCTAGATGTATCAGCTGTGCGTTTCATGGCCTACGTTCTGTGAGGTGTCCACACCACTTCGCTCTGGTCGATGCCAATGGAATTCAGATCATCAACTACGAAGGTGTCTATTTCATGAAATATGATTTGTTGCGCAGCTTGTTTCATTCCCTGAGGCCGACAGTTGTCTACCATAAAGATGAGCGGCCTTCGCTATGAGTTCTTGAACCATCAGACATTGAGCCTGCCCGGCGTCTGTTTGCTGGGTAAGTCTCACTGCGTGCTGGTCAACCAGTGCCCTCGCTGCAGGCATTTGCCGAGATGCAGTTGCCCTGGTAGATCCTGCGCAGCCGAAACAGATACGTCCTCTCCCAAGGGACGGAAATCGTGCTTCAATGTGAAGAGACTCGATAGTGTCGTCACGTCAGGTGTGTTCGATGTTTTCACGGGCCGTGCCATGGGGCTACTGCCTGAGAAAGAACCTGCTGCCTCAGAAAGAATACACACACATATTTTCTTCTGGCATGACGCTTTTTGCATCTCGCGACGTTTCCGAGGAACCCTATCCAGCACAAGCTCGACATCGTGCGCATCTCGCTTAACCAGCAGGGTCAGGTCCTCGGTGTTTTTTCAATAATGATCTGGGCGAGTTGAAATCCGCGCATGCGAGGGTCAGGCAGCGATCGAAAAATCGCAATCCTGGACAAAAACAAGGCTCGGAGTGGAGTAGCCACGATCTGCAAAATCCAGCTGCTGCCCTGTTCAGGATTTGTATCTCACCAAAGCCATGCAAGCGGCCAGATCCTAAGTGCAGCCTCTAAACCGTGCTGGGCTGTGACTGCCCTCACGATCACTACATGTGAGGACAAGACTGAGAAGCTTGGGGCCATGGTGGACACTTTTATGTGGAATGACAGCACCGACATGCTGCTTGGCTTTTGTAGCAAAGTGATGTTTGCCTAGCACTGTCCTTTTGCCCGAGGCTTATTGCCCTGATCGACGAAAAACTAGTTATTTTCATCTATCCGGCTGTATGCTTTGTTGACAAGGACCCTGCTCACAGACTGTGATGTCATGATGCCGCAAAACAGACGGTGAGAACTACAGGACTTGCTTCCGAAGACGCTGCAGTCAAAGACCTGCGCGGATGCCGGTAAGTCGCAGTCTCAGGGTTCAGGTAGAGGGCTTCTGTGCCCTCGTGAATGTACTTGGCCTAGAACGCATGGGCTTTTGGCACACAGTCGCTTGTGACCACACCCGACGGTGACATCGGACGCTACTGAGGTACGCACAGATTGTCGCATTCTATGGCTCCAACTGCACCATCAGAAAGGCTCATGCAACCTGAGTTGTAAGAAGATCAAGTGCCGTCGCGATAGTGAAACTTCGCAGTGAAGGCAGATGGCTCGGATTTGGCCAAAAACTCAGAGTGTTTCTTGTTGGCACTGCAGTGTTCCTTGGTCGTAAGCGTGTTGATCAGGCCATGGTTACCACCCCCTATCCTCAGCTGTGTGGAGCTAAGCCGCCGTGCAGGGCCCGCAGGGCTGATTCCAAAGCACAGGGGAGCCCGAGCCTTCCAGGCTTTACACGCACTTTGAGAAGGGCCAGTGGGAGCAGGCAGACCCGGCGAGCCGCCACGTTTTGGGAGTTTTCTGTGGTGGAGGCGGTGCGGCTGTGCCGATACGTGAAGTCGCCGGAGCTCTGGGCCTCGCTGGCAGCTCCGATCTTAGGAGCTTTGAGCGCTCTCTCTCTCTCTCTCTCTCTCTCTCTGTCTCACGACAGCAGTTGTTTCGCCAACTGCAAAGGCCATGGCGATACATCAGCGAGCACTGGACACCGTCGAGATTGTACGACTCGCAGTTGCCAGCCTTCAGCCCAAGACGTTCAATGCATCCTTTACAGGCTCTAGCCGCAATAGAAGAGGTCGACAAGGTGCAGTCAGGATCCCGGCCAACTTTCGCAGCTTCTTCCGAAGAGAACATCACGAACGGACGGCACGACCCTGCCATTTCAGATGAAATTAAAATGTCAACAGCTCAGGTTTGTTGCTCACATCAACAAACTGCCAGCCTCTGAGTTTTCCGGAGGTGCGTGAAGTGGCCTCCGTCTTGATTTAGGGTATACTGGCTGCTGCCGGCACGAATGCCTCATGACTTTGTGTTGCGTTGCCGCACGACGCATGCACGTGTGCCTCGAGGCCAGATGACGTCCTCAAGTCTGCAGAGCTGGCCTTGTTCTGTAAACGGCCGGATGAGGACGGTTCGTGGCAAAAGCATGTGTTCAACGCCTTGTTCATGATGGCCTTGTTGTTAATAGCGTCCTGGCGGTGTTTGCAGCTGCGACGATGTTAGCTCGCCAGGCGCTCAACATCTTGCTGCAAAACAGGCGCATATATCGCGCCATCAAGTCCATGCCTGAGGGGGTGGAAGTGAGAGGCAGAGGCCTGAGGAGTGAGTGCGTGGCCCGGAAGGATGAATATCCGCCTCCACAGATGGAACGATGCGCTGGAGCTGGCCTGCATCTCGCGATTGGGAGTACAGTTCTGCTGTGTTCTGCTTATGATTCTCAGGGCTTCAGGGTGTCATGCGGCGTCCGGGTGAGAAGCTTGTCCGGAGTTTGTTGCATCAGTTCGTGTAAAGGCCAACTAGCTAAACAAAGCTGGGCATCGCAAAGCTGCACGCACTGCCCAAAACGCGTGATTGTTTGATACTGTTTGGATGTTCTATGATTCTATGATGGTCTCACAACCTCCTGGTCCGGAAGGCTTTAAAGCACCAGACGCACGTGGACACCGTCCTTGCTTACAGACAGCAGCATCTTCAGCAAATGAAGCATGCCCTGAGCTCAGGCTGCGGTTAATGCGGCTTCCAGCACAGATCGTTTCGTGACTCCAAGGTTGAGACAAACGATCAGTTCAAGCAATGGGCAACTCAAGTCGAAGTAGCTCATGCCCGAGCACATTTTGCTTGTGCAGTTGCGACGTAGCTGTGCAGAATACCCATCGTTCCCGTCCTTCGGTTCCAAGGACTGGGAAACGGTCAAGCGAAAGATCGCTGTAGAGAAGGCCACGCGGCACTCCATACGTAAGCATAGACATGCAAGCTTGCAGGGATCTTCTTTGGTTGAAGAGCTGCACGAAAAGCCAATGCATCGCGACTCACACTGCAGATTTGAGCGCTCCATGATTGACCTGGCAGTCCTGGAGACTGAAGCTTCGAGAGGTAGAAGCACCCTCCCAGCAGTTGGCAGGACCAAGAGATCAGAGCTGCCAATGGCGAAGTTGCCCCAGGCTAACGCAGAGGCTTGGTCCAACCTGTTGCTGGTGGAAGTCGAATATATGTATATATATATATATATATTATATTTGGTTGTGCGCTGTGCGGTTTGCCCCCGCCCCCCCCAACCCCTCCTTTGATCATACATGGTTGTGCGCTGTGCGCTCATTGGGAGGGAGGGGGGAGGGGGGGCCGACCGGGGCCCAATCATACCATACATGCCCTCGCAGCTGGAGGCTTCTCTGCAGGCTTGTTTCACTGAATCTGTCGCGGCCTCGTCGACATTCAGTCTAGTTCGTTTGGGCTACCTCTGGCATGACTAAGGCTTGCGACACTGGTGAATAGCCAGTAGCAGTGAGCAGGTACACTGGCAGTGGCCAGGCGATCAGTCCGAGAGTGTAACAGGTCATAGCGGTCATAGCCATAGGGTCTCTCACACAACCCATCGCATCAATCTTTATCGAATTCAGCAAGGCGTTGGGCAGCACAAGTCCAGCCATCCGTTGCGTGACGAATCAATTTGGCCGTCGGCTCGCTCTTGGCCTGCAGAAATGAAGTCAGCAACGAATCGCCTTGTGACGGCGGATGCTGGTGCTGTTCTATCGTGCATGAGCCGAAGGCGGAATGAGCTGTTTGGCTTCTTGAGCTTCAGAACACGGCCACGATGGCCGAGACAACGCCCATACTAGCTGCAGATCGGTATGCTGTACTCCGCTTCATCCAGACAAGCCACACTAGACTGCGAAAATGCAAAGAAGAGTACACAGATGACATTACACAACAGCAAGGATCAGCAAATACTGGCATTTGCAAGCATCTGCCTTTCGAGGCATAGTTCGCTTCTCAAGACTGGGACGTGAGTAGAGGGGGAGCGCTGGTGTACTCTTGGCAGTCCGCCAAGGCTGTCATGACGAAATCAAGGGTAGGGCATGGGCCTGAGTACGCTTCGGGGCTGCAGAGGAGTCTTCCCGCAATGCAAGTTGCGCTTGAGGCGGCGGCCTGATGGTCCGGAGGATGCGAATCCCATGAATCGTCGGCTGCCTGCGGAGGCATGTGCCAACCACAATGAGGCTGTCGCTTGGCGCAATGCTCTGACAGGTTGTGAGCAGACGAAAAGGCAACGAGCAGAGAGCACCCTTGCGGAAATCAGCAGCTGCACATCGGAGTCGTCTTGGGCACAGTACCTCTCAAGTCAGACTCAGTAATGTTGCCAGGTAGGGCCTGGAAAGGGAACGAAGGAGGAAGCAGCTCCAAGCAACGTCTCAACTGATCTGAAGCAGGCCGCAGAGTCCATGCTTGTCGTGGTCGCCGTAGGTGCAATAAAGGTCACAGCTTAACTTTTGACTCATCAAAGGTTCTGGGCATGAAGCCCGATTCCCGCGTGAAGTGGTTGGCAAGAGCTGTGCAACAAGCACATCCGCAGGCAAGCCTTGCAAGCGTCAGCTGCGTTCGTGCTGAGCTTGATGCTTTGGAGTCCAGAAAGTCAGGACGGTCGTTTGGCGCCCAAGACGATCTATGATATCATTGCGCATGCCAAATTTGCCAACGATGTAAGCGAGAAGGCAGGCCAGCGCATGTACTGAACTCAGCTTCTGGAGCAGTGGAGACTGAAGAGAAATTTTGGTTGAAGCGACAATTGAGAGGGTGTCGGCGCAAGGGCAACCAGTGGGTAGCACTCCAGGCAGCTCACATTGAGAACATGTGTGAGAACCAGGGAGGCCCTCCCAGATTGTCGTGGGACACTCCGACTAACAAATCACAGGCTGCTCAGGGCTCTTAGGTTTCGATGCACGAAACTGAGCACATGCGCAAGCATGCAGCTACATCCGGTCTTCAGTCTGACCCTTCTCAGCAGAGCCCAAGGAACCGCACTGCGTTGCTTTGATCAGCCCACGAAGGTATCGCGTGGTCCACGCCAACCTGTCGCTCTTCTCGACCCGGCAGCAGAAGTTTCTCGAGAAGGAGTGCGCGCTGGCAAAGCAGCAGCCTGTTCGCAGCGGAATGTAGAATCGCAGCGTGCCTCTGCATCGTACGCCCGCCAGCATCGCCGGGGCTGTGCAGAATGTGGGTGTGGCTGGTGTGGCATGCGGCGGTTGGGTGGGGTCTTGTGGATGGGATGCGGAGATCCCCTCACTTGCTTCCTCGACTGTGGCTATCGCCTGTTTCCACCCGGCCCTGTCCGGTCAGGTTCGCTGCCTCGGCTTTTGCCGCAGCTCAAGCAGAAGACGAGGCTCCATCGAAGTCGAAGTGAGAGAGTGCTGCCATTGTTGGCGAGCCCTTGGAGCCCTTCGGGCACGCTCTTTGGGGTTTGAAAGGGCGACGGTGGGTGTGTCTTTGGTCTTCCAGAGTTCTCGTTTGTTACCGTTAGTTCAACCTTTGTCGAGCATTGGCACCGGGTCACTAGCTCGTCATCTAATGTTTCGTACATCCGGTCCTGTGTATCATTCCTCAGGACAAGGCTGCTGCTACCATGGAGGCCGACAGCTGACTGTAGAAGATTCTTATTAGACCTTGCGTGCGAAAGGCATACAATGTGCTCGTGGGTCTTTCGTCATGGTGTGTCTGTGAGGACATGATGGCTCGCTGCCGTGCATTCGTGCGGGTTCGCCGGCTTGTCTTGCAGTGAAAACATTCTTTGGTCAAAGTCTCACAGTCTCGAAGCCTTCTGCTGATGGGAGGAACGCCAAAGCGAAAGGGGAGAGAGAAATGAAAAAGAAGGCAGATTGAAGTGAATACTCACTTGTTAGTGCACCAAATTTGAATCAAAAGTCCAGCCCAGGCAACGAAGAAGGTGAGCAGGCCTGGTGGCAGTGCTTCCGTGCCACAAGTTCCAACGATCCCGGCCCGCTTCTGTCCATTTCCATATCCTGAATGCCCTAAGTCTCCATTGTCATGCCTTGAATGAAGTCCCGAGTCCCGAACATCCAGTCGGACAAACGGTGAGGGAGCATCTTTCTCTTGCTTTTGTTCCGTGTTGCTGTTGATGTTTGGGATTCGCAGTAAAGCCGAGTTACTGGCAAGGCCTGCAAGGCTTACAAGATTACGGCACAGCGAAAGAATCCCAGACGAGATTCAGTTTACAAAACGAAAATCGAAACACAGGCGAACTGCTGAACACTTGGTACACGCGATTTGTGCATGTCACCCTTGCGAAGTTGCCATGTCATTTTTATCTTCCTCGTACCCTTCCAGTCTCACGGTATGATCACCGAATAAATATCCGGCATTGCAGCATTTCCTGCACCATGCCTTTACCCACTGCGAAGCTCTATGCCAGCCGTCGAAATGGCAAAGGCAAGCTGACGCTTCAAGTCCTCAGAGCAATCGGCGACCTCGAGCTACTCTTCGGGACATCAAACAGATCTCGTCCTTGACTCAACTTGACCCCTTGATGCTAGGAGGATCAGGCCTGGCTATGTAGTAGGTGTTGAACCCTCAGTTGCAGCTCCACTTGACATACAATCGCCCCTGATGACCTACTGATTCGCAGTGCCGCCTGCCGAATTCAACCAGTGTCGCATCTTTCAGTCAGGCCACGAGTATTGCACTCGAAGCGAAGCTGAAGACGTTTCAAAACTGCGATCCGAACGCCAGTCATGCGGTTAGTATCATATCCGCGTGTGTCCGCACCTTGGTTGTTCACGATCCGTAGGGTGTAGGGCTTGCTCCCCGACATTTGCAACCCACAACCTTGTTTTATTCTGGAGTCCGCTATCCGTGGTTATGAGCCTAATTGCACGATTTTTCGGGTACTTGGTTTGCCACACATCGCGATTTGCTCTTTTTTGCTGATTTGCCATCCGGAGATTCTGCCACCCATGATTATTTTAAAGTCCGGTTTGGGGTTTAGTGTTTGCCGGCCATCAGCTTGTTTCTGAGGTTCGTGTTTGTGCACTTCCTCCCGGTTTGCCATCCGACATGTCTAGCCTACTGAGCTTTGGTATCATGGCAGGTACTTTCACAGTCAGCTTTGCTAGTCATCAGTCTCTTCAGGCAAGAAGGTGTGCAGGACTTAGGGCCGGGGTTTGGTCTTCAGGGTTCGGGTTTGCCAATCTTGTAGATTCTGGATTTTGCCGTTTTTTGGTTGAACATCTTCGCGAGTTTTAGGGTCTAGGGCTCAGCGGCAGTTTGCCGTCCATCACTCCGAACCTCTGTTCGCTGGCACCCTTTTGGTTTCATCCGTCATGGTGTGCTACCCGCGGCCCGCGGCATTTCTTTCCGACTTGTTTAGGTCAGCAGATACAGTTGTGTGCACAGCATCCTTGCAGAGATGTTTCGGATGCCGGCCGGCATTCTTAGCAACGTCGCAGTATGCTTGGAGATGCAAACACTGTCCTTTTTGTTTTTATTTTGTGCAGGTACCATTCGCTTGTTTACGAGTCCTAGAACACTGCGAAATCCCGAGAAATTTTTCCTGCACAAGGAAATGTGCAACAGTCCGGGCTGAGCAGACTGGCTTTCGCTGCGTATGAAATCCGATTGCAGTGGCCAGAATGAACGACATTGCGTGTCTGTGTCTGTGTCTGAGTGTGCATGTGTGCACGCATGCAAGCCAATGGGTTTCGGGTATAGGATGAGCCGGAAAGAGAGCCTCTGCAAGTTTGTGGCAGCAGTGCCCTGCGCTTCTACCTTCCCAAAAACTCGGGAAGCGCAGACGGATGTCCCTCAATTTGCCTGTGTCCTTGCTGTGTTGCAGGAAGATCTAGAGGCCGGACTGGAGCCGCCAGACTTGCAGCTGCCTCCCCGGGAAGTGCCTGTCGTTTTCGCAAGTTGTAAGAACCCTCTAAGCTTACGCCCAGGACCCACGCCGAGCTTGCGGAGCCTTCACTGCAGGATCAAGCTGCGGATGTGAAGGCACCTTCCGAAGTCGTCACCTCGTGATTCGTGCTCGTTGGCTCGGTCGGCATCGTGGTGGACACGGACAGTAGCCAGCCGTTCAGGTATCGGTGAACCCAGCTGAGGGAGTGCCAGCGCGCGAGGCCAGCAAGTTCCGCCCCCAGCTTCAAGGTTTCGGCATGCAGTCGTGTGGAAGAATTTTTGGAGAGGGTGTCCAGATTGCATGACCGGACTGCCGCTTTTTTTTTTTTTACTGTCGCTTCGAGTTGACTAGCAAAATTATTGCGAGTGGTTCGTGTCATATGAGGAGTCGCAGTGACGGTGGCAACCATGAGGACCCTGGCTGCTCGTCGTGCACATACAGCTGGACAGGGCACTGTTGCTGTCGGATGCTTTTCGCAAGCGCTTGACACAATGCCAGGCCAGGTGGCTGAAGCAAGCGTAGATCCACCCGAGCCTTGTCTGAAATTTCTTTATTTATGGCCGAAACAACAGCTAGTCAGGCATTTGGTACCTTGCTTGTGTTTCTCTCAATCAGCGCCATTGCTGAGTTGAGGGAGTGGGAACATGTGTCATCCACCTGGCACTGTAGGATGTTCTGAGCGGCGCAGCATGCGTGGCTGGAGCCGAGGAGAAGCCACCAGTGAAGATCAAAGGCACCATCGCCGAGAAGATCGCAGAAGCCGCTAAAGCCGAGGATGAGAAGGCCAGTTCGCGAAACGTAAGTATCCGTGGTCTGTGGTTGAGTTAAGTATGCCTGCATCGGCATGCCTGTTCTTGGACAGCGAGGAGCAGGAAAGAGAGGCGAAGACCAAAAAGGATAGAGTAAAAGGCAAAGTCAAAGGCAAAGCACACAAGAATGGCATGAAGGATAGAGACGGCAGCGGCGAAGACAGAGCGAAGAAGGCGAAGGCCAAGGACATGGACTGCAGTAAGATCTTCTCCACTTTGCGTCACTGCCACAGCAGAACCGCTAACTTAACTTTGCGTGACATTCTCCAGCTGATGTATTGTCATGCGGCTTCTGGTCGTTGAGGATAAGAAGAGTAAGCACGATCGCAAAAGACATGGGAGGCCCGGCTTTGAAGACAATACATTCGATTCTTCGTGATCAGATGCATTTCTTCCAGTAGACATTGAGACCATATGCGCCTGCACGTGATGAACTTGTTTCGGAAGGGTGTCACATCCTTGTGCTACGTATGGGGCGTGCGTGCGTGTGCGCACGCGCGCGCGCGGGTGTGTGTTTGTGTGTGTGTGTGTGTTGTTGACAGCAGCTAGAGGTGATGGGCATCGAAGGGCTGCCATCGCTCACAAATCCCTGTCGAGCTTCCGGCATTGCAGATAACGCCCATAGGTGTGACAAGAAATTACTGATGTGTCCGTTAGATTCCGAGACTGTTCTTCGTGCAAGGCGCAGCACTGCATCCTCCAGCTACAGCGACAGGCCGCTGACACCGTTTTGGCATTCTCAGCGTCACTCGTGCAAGCCTGCTGGATTTTGCCTTTGCTACGTGTAGTTCCTGAGTGCTTCCGCATAGGCATCAACACGGCAGGACAGGACTTAGAAAACTCTTGTTGCAAACTCCACACTGGTATGAACTTCTACTCAGTTGGGATTGCGGAGCAGGGACCGAAGCAAGTCCCGAAGTCACAGCCACCGCAGAGACGTCCTCCCCTGAGCTATCGTGGCCTGCTGCACTGTTCGCGCCTCTGTTGTAGCAGCGAAGACTGTCGCCTGACAACCTTGGATCACTGTCCGACTGCGACGTCAAAAGCAAAGCTTAGCCCGCCGTGCCTCTGGACTCAAGTGCTTGTTCAGTGAACATTGATCTTGGGTAGTATGCCGACATACGTGAACCGCCTGCCCCTCAAAGGCTTCTCCGAGCACTTGGCAGAATGCCCGAACTGCAGTCGTGTTAACGCCAAACTACGCACGCGACGGCATGCAAAAAGCGAAGCCAGCCGATTTGTCGACAATTCGACCCTACCCTGTGTCCATTGGGAAAGTTCTCTTCGGCGTGGGCTCATGCCAGAAGCAAGATCCGCCCGAGATACCAAACCATTGCAACGGAGAGAATTTTGTAAGGAAATATGGCGAAGCGACCACTCAAGTCGAAGATGATGACTTTTGATCCCTTGCACAAGAAAGGGCAAAGGCACAGGAGGGTCTTCGATTAGTTGAACTGGTCCCCTAAGGCCAAGAGGAGTGGCAAAGCCAAAGGGAAATCCCACCACTCGTCTGAGTCAAGTGGAAGGCCTTGATGACAAGTTCAAGCGGAAGCGTGAGGCAAGATTGCCCTTTTATTGGCAGGAAGCGCGCGAGAAGCGCCTCAAGCTCCAGATCACATGGAAAGAGGCGGACTCGTCCATGGAATTGCAAGCTTCATCTGATGAAGTTCATCAATCACAACACCCTGCGATCGCAATCATAGTTGCTAGCGATGATTCTAGCTCCGGAGCAGTTGAGGATTCTAGCTTTGGAACTCAGACGAGTTTGCGCCCTCTGTAGCGGAAATGCCAGATCGTGCACAGTGCCTCGGTTAGTCCCCGACTTTGTCCTCCACGTATTAATACGATTTCACTGCGAATTGGCTCGTCTTGCGTGTCACAGGCTTGTCGGCAGTAGTCAAAGCGGTGTGCACTCCATGAGGTGTAGAGCTGTCAAGTCCCTTGTCTCCATCGCAGCTTCTCGTTCTTATGAGGCGAAAGTGAGAGATGCTGAGGACGAACTGTGCGTGGAGTGTGAACACTCTGCCCTCAGATCTTCTTGGTTATGACTGTGGACTTAGTGTCGCTTGACGGCGGGTCCCTAAAGATGGGAACAGATGCTGCATGCCTTCCAGCATACGCGGCCTGGTGACCTTAAGCGGCAACCAGCCCTGAAGCCCCGACACCGTGCTAACAGGTTGCCAAGTGCCGCAATTGCAGCTGTCCAAGGGACTTTGTTAATGTGTTGACAGGGACGGAAGAGGAGAGATCCTTCCGCCATCCTGGACGATGCTTCCATCTGGGTGGAGCAAAAGTGCGTGCTGGTGGAATTCGGAAACCGTTCGCGCATTGGAGCCGCAGCGCATCCAGCAGCTTTCTGAAGCGATCGATCAGAAGATTTCAATATCAGTCGGCAAGATAAGCCAAAGCAACAGTGAAGTCTTCACTCTTCGAACTGAGTCGAGTGTAACATCTGGTGGCGGCATGAAACTTCACCGGAAATGCCGGCAGCGAGGCCGGGGCATGATTGCTGCGATACTTCGGATAGCAAACGCGAAACAGGATGCCTCGTCGCCCTGCTGGCATGTGCCTTTCTCCGGCTGCGTGGCTTTGCTTTTCTAGGCAGGCGCGCAATCCTACATGTTCCACAGCTGCAGTTGTGTGCTTGTCAGTGCCAGTGCTCGTGACATCTTTCAGGGCACTCAGCCTCAGACAGCTTAGAACCAGTGTAACAAGCGCGGCTAAGCCACCCTCGACTTGACAAAGATTTCTCTCCCGATCCATCTTGAGCACAGAGGCTTGCCCAGATTCCTCGCATGTGTAGCGAGACTAGTGCTTTAGGATGGCCGCAGATCAAGCCATGGCCAATCTCCGAATGCGGGGTCGGCAGTGCCACGAGGGTGAGAGCACTGCTCACTACTCGATCCTCCAGACCAGGAAGGAGGCACAATCAACACGACGGATTGCTTGCGTTGCGCTTGTCTTTGCCGCGTGCTCGGCCGGATCCATGTACGTGATACTCCGAAACGCGGGAGACCTCTTGGAAATGAGGGAGTTTCCGGAGGGGCAGGAGGTCATTCGCCCTGGCTGGGCTTGGACCACAGACCCGGTAATAGTACGTGAAAGTGTATCACTGAAATCGCCGCAGCTGGGAGTGATCTCGGCCAAGCAACGGGTGCTTGTCTCGGAGCTGCGAGGTGTGCGAGCCAGAATCGTGGAGCCACTCGAAGGCTGGATCTCCTGCATCTCCGATGGCAAGCAGCTGGTCACACTCCGAGAAGTTGATGACGAGCTCAATCAGGTTCGTCACAAGCTTCTGATACAGCAGAAGATTCAACGAAAAATCGATGGAGCTCTTGAGAAACGCAAGGTGGAGAAAGGAGTTCCGACTCGAGTGCCCAGGGCCACGAAGATGGACCCAGCAGCGGATCAGCCGTCATCAGAGAGCCGAAGCGACGTCAACAAGACGCCTGACGAGGTTCGACCGTAGTTGCGACATCTCTAGCAGCAAATTGCAAAAGCGAAGTTTCACCTGGCTGGTGACAAGTGCGGCAAAACACGTATGGGTATGCTTTGCATCAGTTGCTGCGGCAAAAGTCTATCAAGTCTCATGACTCACTGCGCTTTTCTACCGGAAGGCCCTGGCCGGGCTTGGAGTGGCGGGAGGCAGGAGCCGCTCTTGTTGCCCACACGCGCCATGTGAATTTGTATTTTCCATGCCCTGTTCGTGCCAGTTGATCGCAGGCTTGAGCATCCGCTTCGGAGGCAGCTTTTAGCAGCTCGGTGCAAGGACGTGGCAGCCATACTGATGCCCAAACGCATTCGGGCTTAGACTCGAGGTGCCGGTACTGGAGCTCTGCAGTGCGCTGCAGGCGAGCATTCACAGGGTATCGGTATGCGTTGGTTTTCGAGCCACAGCCCTCAGCTCTGCGAAGCTCAGCCAGAAAGTGAGGTTGCTCCTGCCTTGGCTCTCAGCCCTGATCTGAGCAGGACCTGAGCATGATCAGAGCAAGCAGAGAGAGAGAGAGAGAGAGAGAGACAAGCCGGAAGTGACACCAGTGCTGTGATAAGATAATGCCTCGGACCGTAGTTCAGTTATGATTCTCTTCAATGCTTTGGTTCGTAGATCTTGCAAGAGTGCCCCAGTACAATCGTGCATAGCATCATGTTGTCAACCAGCCCTCGAATCGAATCGGTTTCAGGGCAGACAGTGCGGACGGCAATGCAAGAACCGCACGAACGTACAAACTCCACTCTTCAGCACATGCAACCTCAGTCGGATGCACTCACCTCCATCACTTTGGAAAATTCTTTAGAAGCTTGCCGAGTTGAGAAGATCCGAACGCTGATTATGTATTTCCAGGTTCGGTCATGGTTTTGCTGTCAATCAGCTTTTCCCAAACGCAGGTGACATGGTGACACTATGCACATCTTGCGTCCAGAGAGGTATTGATACACTTGTTCCTTACATGCCACCGGGGACTGCGGTCCAGCAGCTCCCGATGTGGCACAGAATATTTTTGACTAAAATCGCATTGTCTCCACAGTGCGAAGGCCATCAAACAAACCGCAGAGGGCCCTGCTCGGGCTCGTCTGTTTGGACTCCTAATCTCCATTTATCTGTCGTCCGTCTGGCCTCCAGCTCCGTGGCTTTCGTGTCCCAGTGGCTCCTGGTCGTCTCGTCGGGGTCGTCTTGGTCGTCGTAGATAGTCGTCGTGGTGGTCATGATCGTCGTAATCGTCGTGGTGGTCGTCGTGGCCGACCTGGTCGTCTTCGAAGGCGTTGTGGTCTTTCATTGTTTGGGTTCTATATGCCACTGCCAGCGACAACTGGGTGGTTGGCTGTTCCTCGTTCGGTCTCATAAGTCTGTTTCCGGAGATAGATCTGTCAACATTTGGAGGGTTCACGTGGTTTCGAAATGCTTCATGATTTACGTATTGCGAGGGTTGGAAAACCATCGGTCTTTTCTTGGTAATTTCTCTTGTGGTAAGACATTCCGTCGTTGCAGGGTGTGGTACCTATCACGTTCGAGATTTGTATGAGCTTTTCTTCTTGAGATTTTGGTGTGGGTATGGCAGCCAGCGTCCTTAAAGCCTTAAGCTCAAGGGTGTGACATTCGTCGCTACCTTCTCTCGCTCCTTTGCAATGGGCTTGTTTGCCCTGCCGTTCCATCTTTCCTAGTATCATGCTTGCTGGCACTGCTTTGGCAGAGGTGTAAAGACAGTTTGTGAGGCATTGTGACACTATGGCTGCAGAACCGGGCTTGCAGCTGAGAGCGTAAACGCAAGCCACAGGTGGCGACGAGCAGCTTGTCACCTCCCTCTTCGAGCGCGTGACTCCTGGGGTTGTCTCAATCGCTCGCGAGGCACCTCCAAAGGCTCGGTTCCGATTTGTGGTGGTGCGATACCTTTGCACTCGTGCGCAGAAGTGGCAGTCGCAGGAAAGCGTGGGAGAGAAGCCATCTCCCGGAATAGCAGGTTCTGGTTTCGTTTGGGACAAGAAGCATGCTCGGACCTTGCTCAAGCTTGTGCTGTGCATTTTCTGCAAAACAACATTGATTACGAAGCAGAGGTTGTTACAAACTATCATGTCATCAACGAGCTCCAGACGCCTGCAACCTCAGACTTCTGAATGCCATGCCACCCTTCAGGCACGGCAGCAGTTGCCTGCATGAGGCCCTATGTGACCTTTCTGTTGAAGGATGGTTCAGGACGGAGCTGCGTGTCTTCCTGCTGAATGCTGGTAAAATGCAACTTCCATCCAGCTCCACTCTCCCAACCATGTGTCCAGCTTCATGCTCGAAGAGTCCTCGAATGCTTGTCAGTGCTTCCTTCAGCAACTCGCATGACAGCGAACCCCATCATCGCTTTCATTGATGTTGGCATCGTGGCCAGCTTCCCCACAATGGGCGGAGGGCAGGGCGAGTCTGCAAAAGGCTATAGCCAGCAACGGCACATGTTGGCAGAAGTAGTCGTTGTCGTACTAGTACTAGTACTAGTACTAGTAGTAGTAGTAGTAGTAGTAGTAGTCGTAGTAGCAGTGGTAGTAGTAGTAGGAGAAGTAGTAGTAGTAGTAGTAGTAGTAGTAGGAGCAGCAGCAGCAGCAGGAGGAGTAGTAGTAGTAGTAGGAGCCTGAACCCCTAGTTAGGGAGCCTAGAAGCAGCCCTTCGCAGCCCGGATGGCGCCAGTGGTTTGTAAGGGGGGAGGGCTAGTAGTAGTAGTAGTAGTAGTAGTAGTAGTAGTAGTAGTAGGAGTAGTAGGAGTAGTCGTAGTAGCAGTGGTAGTAGTAGTAGTAGTAGTAGTAGTAGTAGTAGTAGTCGTAGTAGCAGTGGTAGTAGTAGTAGGAGAAGTAGTAGTAGTAGTAGTAGTAGTAGTAGTAGTAGGAGCAGCAGCAG